TACAATTTTCATATAAAACTGGTTATAGCGTGTGAAATACCCTGTATAATCCCAAACTATATGGTATGGCTATAATCGGAAAAGCTAAAGCAATCCATATATTAAATATATTTTCCTACGACCACATACGAAAATGATAGTTTGCACACTTATTTGTTCTTAAGAAAGTAGCTTATATCACACGCGTACTGAAATATATATCACACACGTATTGAAAAAAAGCAAAAGACACATGTATTAAAAAGTAAAAAAAATATCGTCCTATGACCTGTGACATGTACGTTGAAGTTATCATTATAATTGTCAGTACAAATTTTTATATAATATCAAATGAGCAATACAGTTTTTTATATAGGTTTTTAAAATTATAAAATAATAATAAAACATGTTTACTCACTATTATTTATTGAATATTGAAATAAAATTTTCTATAAAGGTACTTCTGGAGAGAAAATTATTTTCTTCTTCTTTTCTATAGTGTTATTTTCGGTTTCAAATACGACAATGTGAATTTTTGAGGTTATGTTTATGTTAGTGTTTACAATACACCTTTCTGTAGGTGTCTATTAGTTTGAACATATTTAAAGTTTATTGTGATTTGTGTTCAAATACATACTAGTGTCTACAAGATAATTCAAATTTTAAAATGAATTGTTATAAAGATTACTGCATGGTTAATACATTTAAAAGAAAGTGAAGGAAAACTTATTCTTCATGGCTATTGTGATTATACTAAACCCAACAGGTAAATTTAAAGTTTAAAAATTTGAAAAATTACATTAAGTAGGCTGTGGTATTAATTGTCAAACACACAAGCAGTCATTTTGTAAAATTTTATTTTATTGTAAAATTGTACTGAGCTCGCAAAAAAAATGGATTCTAGTGATTCCGAATGTACGCCTCCAGAAATAGAAGAAGCTGCTAAAAACACGTTGCTCAAATTGTTGCCTGCTAAATCCAAAGTAAGGTATCAATATGCTTATGATCAATTCATTAAATGGAGACAAAGGAAACAAATAAAGAGTTCGTTTTCTGAAAATGTTCTACTGGCCTATATGAATGAATTATCATCAAAAGTACAAAGTTTGACTTTGTGGATACAGTACTCAATGTTGAGAACTACTCTGTCTATTGAACACAATGTTGATATTTCTAAGTACCTAAGTATACCTAAGTACCTAAGTCCTGTCGCAACAAGAAATAAATAATTTCATAGAAACAGCTCCAAATGAATTATATTTATTTACAAAGGTGAGCAAGTTTAATATCTATTATTTTGTTCAATGTGTGAGTATTTTTTATTATTTAAGGTTGCACTTATCCTTGGAATATCAGGAGCATGCCGAAAGCAGGAGCTCACACAGTTAACTATAAATGATATAGAGGATTTGGGTACAGCAGCTGTGATAAAAATAGATAACACAAAAAACCAATTATCCAGAAAATTCTTGATTACTGGACCGTTTTATACCATATTTAAAAAATATGCCAATCTTAGGCCACCAACCACTCAACTAAGGTTTTTTCTTAACTATAAAAATAATAAATGCACCCAACAAGTAGTGGGTATAAACAAAATAGACACTGTGCCAAAGGTAGTGACAAAGTTTTTAAATCTTCCGAATCCAGAACAATATACTGGCCACACCTTTAGGCGTTCTTCTGCAACAATTTTGGTAGATGCAGGAGCAGATCTTGCTGCATTAAAGCGCCACGGGGGATGGAAATCCTCTACCGTGGCTGAGCAGTACATAGATGACTGCAACTAATAGGTTAATGACTGCTAATAAAATAATGAATACCATTCGCAGCACAAGCACATTCAACGAAGAAGTTGCATGTAAAAACATTGAACAATAATCTGAACAAAATGCTGAAACTACACAACTCAGATACACTGCAAATTATTGTAGATCCACAAGAGACAATAAACACATATGTTAGGGGAACTACTGAGAATAATAATAATGCAACATTACAAAATGCTCTGCAATTTAGTAAATGTTATAATAACAATTTTACTTTTTACTTTTATAACGTCCCAGAAAAAAAGTAAATCAAAATTATTAATAATTATTCAGTTGATACAGTTTAGTTACAAACATTTCCTAATTATTATATTAGTTATCTCTAGTTTAGTTACAAATATTTTTTATCCATTGCATTAGTTATCTCTACTTTAGATGTACATTTTTATAAACTATTCTGTTAGTATCTTTGCTTTAGTTATAAATGTTTATTATTGTTATATTAGTTCTTGTTCTGCTTTAGTTATAAATATTTTTTAAACATTGTATTTATTAGTTCTTGTCATTTCTACAGTTACAAAATCAAAAATATTTTGGAGGATTTTTTTACTTTTCAACACATCGCACCCTCAATGCAATACTAACACAACTCAAATTTGATAGTTTTGAGAAAAACGCGTTTAAAGTTTTGGCAGTTGGAACAAATCGTTATAACTTTGTTCAAATTTAAGTTTATTCTTTTATTTTTACAATTTAAATTGTTTATAATGTTTACACTAAGATGATAAATGTTAAAAAGTGTATACTTTTTTATTGTATTAATATTGAAAAAAAATGATAAATATCATGACTTATTTTGATGTGGTAGTTTTGTATTAAAGAAAAATGTAAAACAGGTTACGGATTTGCATTTTTATGTTATTTTTGTATACAACAAAAAGTTTTATTCAAATTAAATACAAAGTATGGCAGATATATTTTCAAAAAATAGGATGATATTTCTCTGGAATCGCGCTTTCCCGACATAAATAAAGAAGACCGTCCTTTTTCTTTTTTGAAATTAATAATAATGGTGCATTTTCCAACCTGATACTTTTACGACCTTTCACTGATATCTCAAAAAATTACGTTTCATTGAAATTTTAATTATAAAAAATTGAAAATGGTGACTCCTTTCTAAATTCCAAAATTAAGATATTGGGCCAATTTCCTTTTTTCCGATTTGACTGGTTATTTCTTTGAAATCTTTTAAATCTCTAGTGTTCATTTCATGAACCTTATACGGCAAGCCATTTTTTTGGACAAAGCAATTACCGGTATCCATTGTTATAGAATATAGATAGGACTTCCCCTCAGAACTCTTCGTTTTACTCGTTCTATGCAAGAATGCATAGAATCGCCCTCATTCTGCGTATGGCCAGTAATTAGAAACTTATGACTTATTTTTTCAATATTAAGATGTTGTATTGCGTACATGTACGTTCCAGCTACAAATTTATTTTTATTCCGGCCAACGCAATTGTCAGAATAAAATGTAACACTTTCTTTTCCGGTACAAACATTTTTCAAAAAAGATAAGACACAACTGGCTATTTCATTGGGCCCACGTTTTGCAATGTTCTCACTCCAAACATAGCAGTGTCCATCTTTATCAGCAGTATTATAAACTGTCAAATTATACGTGGAAATTTTGCTTTTATAGTAAAAAGATTATACTTCTCCCAAAGGAGTGGGAAATCATACACCGCTACGATTTTTCTGTCTTTATTTTCTTATGCATCTATTATGTCGTTAGTCTTTTCCCTTCGTGATAACTATTTATCTTTTAAATGTTTCTCAATTTCCAGCTTTAATTCGCTTTTTTCTCATCATTTGAATTCTTATAACTTTCGCAAGTACTACACTGATCCTTTTTCTGTTTATGAAAACCTATGTTATACTCTGTATTAAAGATTTGTTCATAAATACATTTTTTTACAAATGATTTGTCATCTTCTTTGCACTTTTCAAGATACTCTCTATTTGTTTGGTTCCTTAGGTAGTGTGACTCAATTCTAGGAAAAGAGTCAATATGGTCTCTTACACAGCAACCTTATGATGGGAAGTCTTCTAAAGTAAATTGAAAACAAACCGAACTAGTCACCACAAGTCTAATTTTCGCGTAGATAAAAAATTCGGGAAATAAACAGTTGGATGCAATAGTAACACATCTTAAAATGTTGTTGAACGAGGTGGCATATCAATAATACAATACCACCACAACTTGAAATATGTTAGTCATGCATTTAGGATATTAATAATTTTCAAAGCATACTAACATATCTGCTAATAAAAAAACTATCCTTGGATTTTATGTTATTTTAGTATTGCACAAGCATGTCTCATATATTAAGTATCGTTTTGTACAACACAACTCAAAATTGAATTTTTTTGAGTTGTGGTAGTGTTGCATTGAGGTTGCGACATGTGTTGATATTCTTTTTAACACATGCGTGATATACTTTTCAGTACATGTGTGATATGGTTTAATTTACTTTCTCATTTAATAAAGACATTTTTTTAAGGATTTTGTGTGTGGTCGTAGGAAAAATAGTGTATACAACTCGTTGGAAAGTGTATTTCTCGCACTCGTTTAGTTTCCGCTACGCGACTCTTGCTAAATTTCAACTCGCGCGAAATGTTGCACTTTCCACACTTGTTATGTAATATACTATACAGCGGATGTCCTATTTAAAAAACCTAAGTTTGATATGTATAACTTTCCTGGAGAAGATAATTGAAATTGTTTTTAAATTGTTGCCTTTTCTGTCAAATATCTCGATTTAAAAAAAAATTAAATAAATAAATAGTTTTGACTCTATCGACCAAGTCCCTTTACGTACACCTTTTATATACAGGGTGTCCCATTAGTGCGTATTTGTTTAATATTTCAATTTGTGTTTTAGATACGCAAGTTTTAAATAAAAGTTATATGGATTTAACAAAAATACACCTCTTAAAAATTTTGGATATACAGGGTGTTGAGTTATTGCCTGGCAAATAAAAATATATATTTTTTAAATAGAACACCCTGTATTTTATTTCTGGAATGGTTTGGAAATACCGTATTTAACACTAAAATTTTTTTCAAAAATATTACAGGATTGTCAAGATTTATTGAATAATAAATATTTCCCCTGTATTTTATATTTGATTTTTTTTATTTATTGTTTTGATTTTTCCGAAATAAAATTATAATAAAAGAAAACTCACCTTTTTTCGTTTTAGATATGCTTATAATTATTTCCCATGCGAGCTTTATTGTTCTAACACATCTTTCCTCTCCATATTTCATAAAAACTCTCGTCGCTATTTTATAGTAATCTTCGCAAGAAGTGGATCCGGGTAAGTAGAACATTGGCGCAGATGAAGTAATAGCTCCTTTAATTAAATCCGGATATCTCAATCTCAACAAAGCTGACAATGTTCCGGCATAATATCCTCCAAAAGCAATGAAGGGCCCAGTCGCGTGAGATGTATCAGAAAGGTTCTTTTTTAAATCATTAAGAAGATACGCAAAATCTGATAACGCCTGTGTTGACATACAATATCTTAAATTCTCCAAAGATGCAAATGAAGTATTTCCTAAAAACGAAAATTACTATTTTATTGAGACAATCGGCTTTAAGAATTTCGAAAATTTGTCAGTTGAAGATAAGAAAAATAGTAAATAATTTCATTGGAAATCCCCAAACAAATCCCAAAATAACCCATACGAAATAATTATTTTGGAATCCCCAAGGTGAAGACAAATTTTTTGAAAAATTGAAAAAATTTTGTTCATGGGAAGATTCGAACATACCTATCCGTGAGCTACACACACCGCTCTTATCAACTGGACGCTGTTTTGCAGAAATGCGTTAACCCACATAACAATCATTTTGAGAAAAAGCCATTTAAAGTTCGTATAAAAGAATTAGCTCTAATTTTTAAACACAATTTATTATACCTATATGAAAATGGCAATGATTAGTAAATAGCTTGTAAATTGTAAATTTTATTACAATATGAGTAAATTATTTAGACAACTGTACAAAAAGAATATTTTAATGAAATTTTTATTTTTGCAAATCTCATTTTTGCTTTCCTATTTGTATACAGATATAAGGAAAGTATAATAGGAATCATGATTTTTTTCGACCTCGAGTTTTCGACGGATTTTTACGTTTTGAGGTCCCCTGAATCCGTTTTGACTATTTTTGCGATGATGTCTGTGTGTGTGTGTGTGCGTACGTATGCGTGTGCGTGTGCGTGTGCGTGTGCGTGTGTGTGTGTGTGTGTGTGTGTGTGTGTGTGTGTGTGTGTGTGTGTGTGTGTGTGTGTGTGCGTGTATCCACCATAACTCATGAACCGATACACAGAAAAACACCAAATTTTTAACTTAATCTTTATTTTAGCGTCCAATGAACTAATTAGATTTTGGGCAGAGTCGGAACTTCTGGGGGGGGGGTACTTTATGAGTGGTTATTTTTATTTTTTATGGAATATATCTGTTATTTACGTTTGGAGAAGAAAATTCTTAAAATAGTCTGTATTTAAGAAATTTGACAAAATGTAAAAAAAATAATTTTTTATGAAAATTAATCAAATAAAAGTTGTCTGTAATATAATTCTCTATAATTTTTATCTTATACATAATTTCTCTAAAATGAACCTTATTTGAGATATTTAAGAAATTGTGTAAATTTCGAATTTTGAAGAAAACTCAAAAATGGAAAAACATTAAATTTTAAAATTAAGTTTTATTTCGGCCTGACGTGAAATGATTAGATTTTGGACAAAGTCGGAACATCTGGGGGGTACTTTATGGGAGGCTGTTTTTATATTTTATGGAATATGTCTGTTATGTTTGGAGAAGAAAATTGTTCAAATAAAAGTTACTTCTAATATTATTATCTATAATTTTTGCTTTATGTCAAAATTTCCTGAAATGGTCCGTAATCGAGAAATTTGATAAAATGTGCAAAATTCTGATTTTTATGAAAATTGTTGAATTAAAAGTTGTTTGCGATATCGATCTCTATAATTTTTGTTTATACATGATTTTTCTAAAATGGACCGTAATTGAAAAATTGTAGGAAAAGTGCTAAATTTAAATTTTTCAGTATTTTCGTTTTCAATGAATATCTATATAAAAATGTTTCGAGGTAGATGTATGTGGAAAATGTATATATTTAGTTTATCCTCTAAACATTTATAGAGGTACTCCAATAGGTTGTACAAAATAACCAGAAAAAGCCCTAAACTTCAGGAAGTTGGGTGGGTCTACCAATAGGAGTGATAGAATTTTCGAAGGTCATATGCGTACAATGCTGATTGTTATAACAAGAAGCAAGCGTGGTTTGTGTTCAGTATACTTCGACATTTCACCATGAATCGACTTAGTAAAAAGCAACGTTTAGTTATCGTACAGAGGTATTATGAAAATGGGCGATCGGTTAGAGCTTGTTATCGTGCTCTTTGTGAAGATTTTGGCCAACATGGACGACCTTCTGAGCTCGCTATCAGGCGCACAATTGCCAAGATTGAACGGGATTACTCTCTTGGATAGTAAGCCACCGACAAGACGAAGAACTGCAAGGAGTGCTGAAAATAACGCTGCGGTAAGGGAAAGCGTGAACGCAAATGCAAATGTATCCGTTGTGCGCCGTTCTCAGCAACTAGGCATTTCAGCAATATCAACATGGCGTATTTTGAAGAAAGATTTGGGCCTACATCCATATAAGATGGTTATAACTCAAGAACTGCAGCCTGCCGACCATGCTTTGCGGAGAATGTTTACCGATTGGGCACTTTTGCAGTTATAAGAAAATGCTGATTTTGGTAAACAAATCATCTTTTCAGATGAAGCCCATTTTTGGCTTAATGGCTTTGTGAATACGCAAAATTGTCGCTTCTGGTGTGAGAACAATCTCCAACAACTAGTGGAGACGCCATTACACCCCGTGAAAGTTACTGTCTGGTGTGGTTTGCATGCTGGCGGAATTATCGGTCCCTACTTTTTTGAGGATGCGGATGGGCATACTGTAACAGTGAATGCAGAGCGCTATCGTGCCATGCTAACGGACTTTCTTTGGCCTGCACTTAATGCTGGAGACATGGAAGAGAAGTGGTTTCAACAGGACGGTGCAACATCGCACACTGCCCGAGACACAATGAATTTATTGAGGAAGCGTTTTGAGGGGCGAATAATTTCCCGACATGCTCGAATCAACTGGCCACCAAGATCTTGTGATCTTACACCTCTCGACTTTTTCCTCTGGGGATATGTAAAGTCTTTGGTATACACTAACAATCCCCAAACTAGCGACGACTTGAAAGCTAATATCACCCGAGCTATTCACGAAATACAGCCCAACTTATTGGAAAAAGTTATCGAAAATTGGATTCATCGTCTACACGTCTGCCGTCGCAGCCGAGGCGGCCATCTTAATGATGTCTTATTCAAAATATAATGTTATATAGTTGGCTACAAAATAAAAAAAAATCATAGAAATATATTAGTTTGTTTTTATTTTATAGCACTTTCAAGTTATATCATTTTTATTGGTAGACCCTATTAATAACTAGATAGGAAAGTCATGTGTTGGACACATCAGATTTTTATTTCTAAGCACATAATTAAAATAATATATTTAAACATTAAGGCAAAATCTAATTGAATTCAATTCAACATGACAAAACCACTCAACCACCGCCTTTTAAGAATTGACAAGTTTTTCGGCCCGTGGCAACACGACTGTACAACAATTTTGAAACCAAGCGAAACAAGATCTAACAGCCCTTTTTAACTGCATATAAAAAGGAAGTAGACTTAAAACAATGCATTATTTGCCACTAGACTTCGGCTGGTGCGAAATAAAATAGTTTGTTTAAATTGTTAGTGCAAATAAGCTTTAAAAAAGTGCTTGTGCAAATTGTCCAGTGCGTTCGACTTCTGTGAAGGTGTTTTAATTTTTGTTTTCATTTTTAAAAACAAAAAAAAAATCCATCAGACATAAGCCGAAAAGGTGGGGGGTAGATTTAAAAAATTAGAGTTTAGATCAAAGCATGGCTTGTGTGGTATCAAATGAAAGGTAATTGAGTCTGGAATTGAATAAAATTAATTTTATTTTTTTAAGCCAGTGGCGCACAAGAGGGGATTTCAAAAATTAGAGTTTACATTAAAAAATGGCTTGTGTGGTATCAAATGAAAGTTGATTGAACTTGCAGTTGAATAAAATTTATTTTATTTTTTAAGCCAGTGGCGCACAAGGAGGATTTCGAAAATTAGAGTTTAAATCATATCATGGCTTGTGGGGTATTAAATGAATGGTAATTGAGTCTGAAGTTGAATAAAATACATTTTTTTAATCCAGTGGCGCACAAGGGGGAGATTTCAGAAATTATAATTTAAATCAAATCATGGCATCAGTATTATCTTTTATTTTAATTAATTTGTTCCAGAAACCAAAATGTCCGATGCTAAGAGAAAACCCTTTGGGAGCGAATATAAAAAGCAAAGATTGAACAAGCAAACATAGCTTCAAAAACAGTAAGATGCGCTGCAGAACTTCTTGAAAAAAGGTAGTTTCAACGCTCCCACAACCGACCAACATTTGAACAACGCCCAGCACCTAGATACTAACTTTCCGGATATGGACCTTCCCTTTGGACACAACCGTCAGTATTACTGAGCTGGGTAAGTCATCTTAAACGAGTTTGGCGAGTAGTGATGCAGTTCCGTGCAGTTCCAAAAATCAAAATTTGCAAGTTGTGCGGACCTCATGGAAACATTTAGAAAAGGCTACCGTCCAAAGTATCTCTTCTGACCCAGGATTATTTCCCTAAATCATTCGTGCAGCAGATAGAGTTTTTTAAAGATCAATAGAAGATTCTCACCAAAACATTACAAGAAAATACTTAGAAATGAAGAAGAGGTTTTAAGAGAATGGATGGTACATTCCGTATTTTAAAACGCTCTGTACTGTTTTCTATGTCGACTTTTTGCTGCACCATCTAGCTTGAGCGCTTTTGACAATCGGAGATTTAAAGACTGGAAGCATTTAGGGGACTCTTTCGCACATCATGAAAATGCTAAAACTCATATATATTGTTTAAAAGCATGGCTTGAATTGAAGCAAAGATTGAAAATAGGTGAAACAATAGATGCAGTTTCTCAAAGACTTATTGATTATGAGATAAATCACTAGTCTGAAATTTTTTTACGCATTATATCAGTCGTTAAAATGCTAGGGGAGAGCTCTCTAGCTTTTCGAGGAACAAGCGATAAAGTGTATGAACACAATAATGGAAACTTTTTGAAGTTAATTCAGTTATTGGCTGAGTTTTCCATTTGCTGTATTTCCAACTTATCTACAGAAAAATCTGACTGAACGAAAATTATCACGATTGTTGTCTGTTGAATAGTTTTTTATACAAAGAAAGAAGGCTTTGTTTTACTGATACTTTATATCAACGCCTGCCAGCTAAATCTATCAAGATACCTATCAACTCTAATTTAAGACATCTACGGTATGACACACTATAGCGCTATTTCATTTGCATTTAACAGTATAACCTTAGCTTTTACCGACCTTAAAAACCTAAAACTAAACATTTCTCAAAAATACCTGATATTAATTTTTATCTAAATTCTTAACTGACTGAGCTAGGGGAGATCCACGACTAGTGCTCAAGTTTATTTAAATTCGAAATTTGCGTTTCTGAGATAGTATTAATAAAATAGAATTTTTTTCTAGATATTAAGGAAGGATCGTTTGGAATGGCCCACCTGGTAGATAGAAGAATGTTATGTTTTTATGTTTCTACCTATTTGAGTTAATAATCCTAATGGCTTGGATTTTCTTATTCTATTTTATATTACAATAAACAGAGAATATATTTAGAATAAAATTTCTTTTAGGATTTTTCACAAAGAATAAATACCGGATTAATTTGAAACTGCTCATTTTAAATTTCTTAATACATATATGCCTTACGTTATTATACGTCTAAAGACAAATAAGTTTAAATTATCAAATAAAAATTTTATATTACATAACATACTGAATTTTTAAAATTCAAATACATTTTTGAAATATTTAGCAATATAACTAATATATTTATAATAAAATAATCGTCTCTTTTATTTTTGAAACCCTTCCTTTCCTATGTTGATCTGTATTTCCACTACAGGTTAAAAAAAGATTTATGTAAATTATATAGGTAGGTATATATTAGGTAAATTTTGCTCTAATAATAATAGTTTCTAAAGCACGGCTAAAAAGTTAATTTTTCTATTTTTACAGAACTGGTTTCATTATGAACAAATATAAAATTCAGTTATCCTCGGTAAAGGAAATTTGACATTTAATACATGCAAAACATTCTTGTATTTCGACTTTAACTCAACTTTATTTATTTTTTTTTTAGAAAAAATGCCCTAAGAGTTGAAGAAACCAGCCCTAAATAGCAAAATTTACTTTTTATCAATTAAAACTGCCTTTTAAAGGTAAAAAAAATATTTTTTATTAAAAAGAAAGTAATTTCTTAATCAGTAACCAATAAAAACTACTTTTAATTACTAAAAAATATTTTTTAATCACTGAAAGCCTAATTTTTAACCAGTAAAATCTATTTTTAAGAAAAAAAAAATAATTCTTTAACAATTAAAACTGCCTGTTCAAGGTAACAAAATACTTTTTGACTGAAAAAAAAAAAAAATAGTGTTTAACTACTAAAAACCTACTTTTTAACCATAAAAAACTACTTTTTAGTGAGTAAAATTTTACTTTCTAACTACTAAAATTAATAAAAACTAAAATTTAAGTTTTTAAGGACTAAAAAGTAATTCCAAAAAAATGAATTTATTAACCGTAGCAAAGTACTTTGGCTGTCGCCTATTTTAATAGAGTTTTTTTAAGGGTTAATACATTTTTTGCTACCATAGCAAAAAATTTCCCCCGGTACAGAAAATTTATTGAATTTGTAGTTTATTCTTACAATGAAAAAAGTCTAAAAATAGGCAATTTTCTACTACAAGTTTTTAATTAAAAACAATTAATTAAAAAAAAAATCAATGCTTGAACCACCAAGTTGGACTTTTATACAATTAAAAAAAAAAAAAAATAGTACAATATATGGTATAATTACGGAAATAGTTACAATTAACGTTTGGTCTGCAGACGCCATTCTAATTTCCCTAACCAAACGTTAGAAGATACGAATACACGAACGTTTTCTATAGAACATGTATTTAATTTAAACTAACGCTAACATATACGTATATTTAACAAAACTATTAACTTTTAGTTACATAAAAACGTTTAAAAATAATATCGTATATTTTTGTAAAAATAAATCAAACGTTAAAATGTTTTGATACAACAACGTTTTCAATACGATTACTTAAAATAATGTTGATAAGATATGTATTAATTGTAAAAAAATTAACTATAGGTTTAAATATAATATTAAGCGAAATAAAAAATAAACGTTAATTATAAACGGGAAAATAACATTATAAAAAAACGTACCATTTTATTAAATTTTCAACATTCAGTTAAAAATAACTAAAAAATAGGTTAGAAAGTAGTATTTTCAATACTATAATTTTTTAACTAAAATTTTAACGTTGAATTTTCAACCAATAACGTTTTTTTACACCGTACACCGTTATATTTACGTTGAAAAAACGAGTGTGTGCTCATTGGGTATCGTAAAGTTTAAAATATTCTAAAAGAACGTCACAGATGATAATATCATTGTTTTCTCTAATTCATTATTTAATAATACTGATGACAACTAACAATTGTTATAAAAGTTACCAAAAAAGGAAATTTCCATTAAATTTCTTGTTTTACCAAAAAGTTTAATTTATTTTACTTACCAAATGGTAATGATCTCCCATAATAACGGTGTTCAATAAAAACAATCATAGCATTAAAAGTAGGTGCAATATCGAACAAAAATCCTGTATGACGAGCCGCGACCGTAATATCTCTTTCGCCTCCCGTATACACGAATACCGGACCGCCTTTGATATGGTTCTTTGCGTAAACGAGATATCTTAAATTAAAAGTTTTAGCCGGCTCGGTTGGAGAAAAGTGATCTACTGGTACTTGGATATATTTAGTTTCCACAGAATGTGTATGAACACTCTCAATTTCTTTTAGAAAAATAACTATACCAATTACAACCGGCAAAAATTTTAAAAATATATTATTTTTAATTTTCACTGACATTGTAACACTTGAGCAGACTACTAGCTTTCAATCAAATGAATTATAAATCGAAAGTGAGGAGATTGATGTAGATTTATCAATTTATAGTGCTTAAAGAATGTCTATGATTAAGGATATTTAAATTTTCAATAATAAGATTTTTTAACTGCTTTATCTTTTGCATTTTCTGTGTGTCACCTTTATAAAAATGTTGAAGATTAAATATTTATTCGATAATAGAAATTTCATTAAATTAAAAATTAATTTTCAAAATAAAAACTGGGATATCCCGGGGATAAAGTATTGGGATATACAGAGGACGTCCCGTTTTTTAACATTGTATATTCTCAGGATGTACTAGGGATATCGCATAGCCGAAACCGTATATCCCGAGGATATAGACTAATGTCCCATCGGATATCCTCGGGATATCCCTGGTACAGACTTGTGCTACCTGGGAGGCGATATAAATACAGGGTGAGGCACCGAAAACGAAACAGATCGCATATCTTGAAGACGCACGTTTTTTTGTAGAAAATGCAATTATTATTATTATTATCTCGTTTTTTGAAAATAGTGCTCTTCTGTACGGTATAATTTTGGATTACCGGTTTTAGAATCTACGAAATATTAGTTTGCAATTTACTAACAATTCAATTTTTGACACTTAGTCCCCACAGAATTCATTTCTAGAGGAGTTTTGTTACAAATAACACCATACTACTATGCTTATCTGTTCTTCTGGAAGTGTTTATTGTAGACATATAACCAAATTCGCTAAATGTATTTAATTTGATATAAACTACATCTTTTAAAATATCTATACAGGGTGAGGCACCGAAAGCGAAACAAATCGCATATCTAGAAGACACATTTTTTTTGGAGAAAATGCAAAAAGAGGTCGATTTTTATTTCAAAGGGGACATCTTTCGATCATATCCTCAACTATCCTACATCCCTCCCCTCCCCTCTGTCACTATTACCAATGAAATTGAAATAGGGAAAGTACTAAGTGTGACACATCATTGAAAAGGTAATTGTATAAGAAATTTGACTGTGACATGTGACAGTTCAAATAAGCATATTGTCATGTGGAAGTCAAATTTAAAAATTTAATGCATAATTACCTGTGGAATAAAAATGTTTTCGTAAAATAAATAAAGGTTTTTATTTCCATAACTACCAGGTCCGTTTTTTAGTTTAGCGCCATTGATACTTCAAGTCTATTAGCGAGTAAAACATAAAAAGGTTTATTCTATTCAGGAGAGAGTAGAAACTGTTGAATGTTATTTAAAAAATAACGAATGTGCTAACACTGCCTGTACAATTTTCAATGAGCAACACCCAAACAGGTTAAACTAGGGCTGCCATATTTTCAGAAATGAAAAGCGGGAGGTTTTAATTTTTGAAGAAAAAAACATTTTTATTTTAATTAAATACCTACTAAATATACAAAGATATTGTAGCATCAAAAAAAAAAAACAAAAACAAACTTCAATGTCCATTTAATAAACCATTTTTAACAAGTCAACATACAAGTATCCATTTTTAATTTTGATATAATTTTTGGCAATCTTCATGTCACAACTGAATTTTTATGAAATCGTCCAATTAAGGGTTAGTTTTCAAATCCATCGCTCCCAGACATATAAAAGATGGCGCTTGTAGAGATTACGACGTTTATAGATATGGGAGGAATAACCGATAATTTGATAGTATCGTTAGCATATTATTATTTTTTTAATACCTATCTATTCAGTGTAAATTTGGGGTAAATTAGGAGATTTCTGAAAAATCAGGAGCTTTATAGCTTAGTTTAAAAAGCGGGAGGGAGTGTGAGAAATCGGGAGGCTCCCGCCTAAATCGAGAGGTATGGCAGCCCTAGATTAAAGGTAAGTACGTTTTGAAACTTATTTCAAAATTTCGACAAACAGGATCTGTTCAAAATAAAAAATCGGCAGATTCAAAATCCAGTAAGAAACGAAGCCGTAGAGGTAGCCGTTTTAGGACAAGCTGTTGCAGATCCAACTCTTAGTACAAGAAAGCTTGCAGAATTATCTGGAGTAAGTGACCGTACCGTCAGGAGAATTTTGAAAGCCAACAAATTCCATCCCTATAAAATTCATTTAGTTCAGGAACTTAACGAAGATGATTTTGATCGCCGCTTGCAATTTTGTGAAATCATGAACGAGCATGCTATACAAGATCCACATTTTCTTTATAACATTTGTTTTTCAGATGAATGCAGTTTTTATGTTAACGGGACTGTCAATCGACATAATTGTCGATACTGGTCAGGTTCCAATCCAAGCGTATTTCATGAAACACATACTCAACACCCAGAAAAGTTAAACGTTTGAGCTGGAATATTTGGCGATCGTATTGTTGGTCCATTATTTTTACCAGGTACTTTAACTAGGGATATGTATTTGGAATTACTCGAAAACACCGCTGATCCACTGTTAACAGACAATAAAAAACGATAACCGATACCTTGAAGATCACCTAATATTTCAATAGGACGGGGCTCCTCCACATTTTGCTGCGGTGGTTCGTCAGTACTTAAATGAAAACTTTCCTAGACATTGGATTGGACGAAGCGGATTTATTGAATGGCCCCCACGATCTCCTGATCTGTCCACCTGAGATTACTTTTTATGGGGATATCTGAAAAGTATACGTCACTCAACATTGTTAACTTTAAAATCACAAATTAGCATTTCATAACTGAGGGTTATTTTAATTATATTTAAAATTTTAATTTTATTTTTATTATAGTACTCCGCCACCTCTACTCTTACCAGTATATGTTCTATCCCTATCAGCTCTTATAACATTAAATATGTTTGTATCTATATGATATATATGACATAGTGTGAACCGAATACAGCTGTAGGAGGGGGTATAACGAGTTAAAAACATATATGTACATATTTTCTGATAACCATTCAAGCCACTCATGTGTCAGTGGACTTGTAGATGCATTTAAAAATTTAACATAAAAATATTCTTTTTTATAAAACCCTTTGAAGGTTGAAAAATTATAAATCAGCAGATACTAACTTTAGTTAGGAGTAGGCAACTGAGATTATATTATAAAATCATTTTAAAGATTGAAATTTGTAAACCAGTATAAAAATCATTTTCAATATCGAGTATTGGACCTTTTTTTATTTGTTCGCCTGGAGGGAATTAAAGAATTTGTAGAAAAAACTTTTCGTTTCCCTATGCATACCGTCTCAAAATGGGAACAAAAAGTGTTTTCACTATATCACTTTTACTAACAAGTACTTACTCCATTTGCCACACTAATTTTTCTTTGGCTGTAATACATCTAGACTTATACCAGTTCTCCCTATTGAAAGAGCAAGTGTTTTTGAAGCCACATGTATACTCATTTTCGACATTTTTTGACTTATATCACTGTACTCCAACACCCGCCATTTGTTTGCCTACTCCCGAAGCTTCATCTTTAAACATAGATATAGTTTTTAAGTCAAAGTGTTATTGTCAACTAATATTTTTTTATTGGTGTGTACCTATGGCTTTGACCACTTAGTCAATTAGCGTGGAGTACCTACTAATAGTCTAATACTCCTTATTACAGGAGTGTTAGTACTTTAATAAACGCCTACAAACAGGCATTGTTTCTGTTTCCTAGCGCCACTTTAGAACCCAACAGGGAATGGTTGGAGTAGAGAATCCTACATATGCATCAGAATTATTTATTAATAAATACCTAAATTAAATAAAAAATCCCTGCCAACGGTGGGGTTCGAACCGCGGCCCCTTGGATTTGCAAGTCTTAAAATATTTAATGACATACTGGGATAGAAGATGGATAACTTAAAATTTACTGAAATGTTTATAATGTTCGGCAAAACTGGAATCTTACCTGTAATTATTTTTTTCTACGAACTCTTACAAAAAGACATCTTTCGCCACAGGATACTTTCAGCAAAAACTTGATTTCCGTCACTAGTGAGAAAAAATCCCATAACGCTTACTTTCATCTCTAGTGACGAAAGTAAGTTGTTACATATTTTCATATATCAGTCGCCTCGTATAATATTTTGGCAGCTTATAATTATTAATAATGAAATAAAAAGATGCTCATTAAATTCTATATGCGTTTTTACCTAAACTTTAATGAATTATAGATAAAATAAAAATGTATAAAAATAGTGCAAATTAAACCAATCTACATCTAGTTTCCTGGTTTTCATTTGTTTATTTGAAGTTTAATCACTTTTGAGAACTGTCAGTTACAGTTCGTCCTAAATTTAACACATTTTCATGATGTCTGAGTCAGAAAGCGATTGTACTCTCCCAGAAATTATTTTTAAAGCTGAAGAAACCTCTTCAGATTTATTACCGGCCAAATCAAAAAAGAGATTTATTTATTATATCAAATTTTTGAACTGGAGAGAAAAAAATAAAGTGAAATCATTTTCGGAAACTGTACTACTAGCATACTTTGGAGAAATATGTTCAAATTTTAAACCGTCGACGTTATGGTCCATTTATTCGATGCTAAGAACTACACTCTCTGTTAAAAATGATGTCGATATTAGTAAATATCCAAAGTTACGTTCGCTTTTGAAAAGAAAATCTGATGGTTTTAAAAGCCAAAAATCCAAAAATTTTTCGCCTGAAGACATAAAGACTTTCCTAAAGAATGCACCTGACTATAAATATTTAATAACAAAGGTAACGGAATTATTATTTTTATTTTAACAAATACTTAATACATAACTACTAATATTTGTAGGTAGCATTAGTTTTTGGATTATCTGGCGCTTGTCGTTGCCACGAACTAAAAGATTTAACAATAAGCGATGTAAAGGATACTGGAAGTATTCTGTTAGTTAAAATCCGTAATACAAAAACAAAAGTTCCGCGTTTTTTTCATATTTCTGGACCCTTTTATGATATTTCTAAAAAATATATGAGCCTACGTCCCGCAAACATGGATCAAATTAATTCAAGATTCTTTATTAACTATCAGAATGGAAAGTGCA